AATATATATTTTTCAGCCCTTCTTAAAAAAATTATTAAAAATACAAGAACTGTTCTGAAATCAAAACTATATTAGGTATTTACTTTAGATGGTCTATTCTTACTTTGCTATAAATATGGTAATCGTAAATCCTACAGGATGTTCAATATTCTACGTCAAACTTTCTAAAATATAAAATATGTTTTCTTTGTTTTTTTTAAATGGAACACACTGTATATTATTTTTTTATTAGATGGAGAGTGTAAAAATGAACATTTTTTGTATTTAGAGTATTTCAAAATTCTTAACGGTTTCGCAGATACACGCAGTATTATTTCATATGGCGCTTTCAATGGTAAAATACGAGAGAAAAATCATTGGGTGTGTGGTTTTGATAAAAATTTACTGTGGAAAATGCCATATGAAATATAAAACCGCAAATATCTGCGAAACCGTTAAAAATTTTAAAATACTGTAAATACAAAAAATGTTCATTTTTTAATTCTCCGTCTATTGAAAGAATAATATACAGGGTGTTCCATTTAAAAAAACGAAGAAAAATTATTTTATATTTTAGAGAGTTTGGCGTAGAATTTTGAACATCCTGTATAATTTACGATATTCATATTTATAGCAAAGTAAGTACAGACCATCTAAAGTAAATACCTAATATAGTTTTGATTTCAGAACAGTTCTTGTATTTTTAATAATTTTTTTAAGAAGGGCTGAAAAATATATATTTTTGATTTATTTTGTAATATCTCTGAAACTATCGAAATGTATTTATTCATATCTTAGGGTTATGTAAAGTGATCGGAAAGAAAGCCAAAAATGCAATAATATACAGGGTGTTCCATTTAAAAAAAATCATCCAGGTCCACTCACACTTTTTTGAGCCACCCTATAGAAATTAAAATATTTTCCTGAAATACATCCTGGTACATACTTTAGGTTTGCACTTAAACAAAATTCTCAAGTTTTTTATTCTAGGAGCTACAGATGCCCGACGCACTATTGCCGGACCCTGTATAATTCCTTACTAGTGAAAAGTTGTTTCATTATTTTTCATGTCTTTTTTTCTCTAGAAAAGTAAACACATGGTAACATATGTACCTATTAAAGCTTCTCCCAATGATTCACAATAAACTCATTCAGTTGAAATCCTGACACAATGTCATTCCAAACTTGTACACTTTGCACAAAATCAATTCTGTCAAAAAATGACGCTTTTATGACGTCGATATTCATGAATATACAAATATAATGATATTATATTATTATACGACTCTTTCCTTTGCCTTTTTCTTGCATGATATATAAGTTTGTGTTTAATGTGAAATTTACATAAAAATATTTACCTTGTATAAAGTCACGTGGTATATTTCCTTCTCCAGCATGTTCTCTGTACTGTACGAACCAGGGAGTCTCTCGATAGTGTTTAATGAATGGTTGAAGTGACTAAATGAAATAAAAAAAAAATACTATATTAATTTATTATTAATTATAGGCTAGTAGAGATTTTTGATTACATTTTTTTCTACAATTTACATTTTATTATATTAGATTATTTTTTAAACACTCTGTATATTTAAGCTATAACTTAAGTAAATCTCAAGTAACTTTAACAGTTAATAAGTAACTTTAACAATTACTTTGAAACAAATAAATTTAGGTCTTACTTCATGGTGTTTCCGAAATTGTAGTTGGGTAAAGGTAGTGGACTTGGACAGAACATTTCCTCTGTGTCTGAGTAGTATTGAAGTTCTGAGTTCCTTTTTCTGTTTTTCGTCAGTGTCAGATCCTTGTCTTGATCGTGTATGTGGTCTTGATAGGATAGAGGTTCACTCAAAACACTTTCGATGTCTTTTAATTCTGCAATAATAAGTATTTTTTAGAAAATATTGAAGATTATTTTTCTTACGACAATAGTACGTCTATACAGGGTGTTTCAAAACAAATGCGAAAAACCTCAGGGGGTGATTCCTTGTTCAAAATAAAGGGTAGTTTGCTTCATAAACGTTGGAAAAGAGATAGACTAATAAAATTTTATGGAAGCATTACTGTTATGAAAACACACTTTCTGGTAATTTTTTCGCTTTTTTAAAATGAGTGGAAGGGGTTGAAATAAACTACCCCTATCATTCTTGTTAACGAAATTTAAAGAAAAATCTTATCAAATACATGCAAAAAAATTAATTTGGATAGTTTAGTTTGTTTAGAAACTTTTTTATCTCTTGTATTTTTTTGATAAAACTCACCGATTTGAAATTAAAAAATAAAATGTAAAGCATTACATGTCAGGACAAAAACATTTTCTGATAAAGAATCTAGTGGGCTGCTGTAATTTTTTTAGGAAAAAATCTAGTCGGCCGCTGTTACTGTTTAGGATGTTCCTAATATTATTTTATTTGACATTACTCTACTGCAATACGTTATTATCTAGATGATTATTATTATCGTCATTATCACTAGATTCTTAATCTAAAAATGTTTTTGTCCTGACATGTAATGCTTTACATTTTATTTTTAATTTCCAATCGGTGAGTTTTATCAAAAAACACAAGAGGTAAAAAGTTTATAAACAAACTAAACTATCCAAATTAAAGCATTTGCATGTGTTTGATAAGATTTTTCTTTTAATTTCGTTAACAAGAATGATAGGGGTAGTTTATTTCAACCCCTTCCACTCATTTTAAAAAAGTAAAAAAATTACCTGAAAGTGTGTTTTCATAACAGTAATGCTTCCATAAAATTTCATTAGTCTATCTCTTTTCGTTTTCAAGATAAAAAATAAAAACATTATTTTTCCGCCATCTTTGTACCGCGATATCTCCCTAATGGTTGACTTTTGACCCAACCTTTATAAAACAAACTACCCTTTATTTTGAACAAGGAATCACCCCCTAAAGTTTTTCGCATTTGTTTTGAAACACCCTGTATATGTATATGTATAGTAGATTTTTTTGACACAACATAAATACAGCAAAATATATACAAACCAGAATTATTGCTATAATTTATTACTTCATCATTATATTACTTTTTATATTACTATTATTACTTTTTATAATAATAATGTGCGATCTTTGTTAGTAATTTTTTTTATTAAATAAATAGCAACCTAGCATTTTTTCCTTTACACCTGGTGTGTATATCTTCAGTAACTTCGTTTTGTATTGTAAGGCACTGTTTTGTACTGTTGTTTATTTACATAATTTGTCTGAGGGAATATGCAACACGCACAATTTTTGAATATTTAATTAACGGCAAATAATAATTTTCATAATTATTGGGACTATGAGACACATTTCTTATAAATAATAAAAAGATTAATATATTTACAAGAAAAATAATTTTAAATTTATTTTATTTTAAGATCAATTTTGTTAATGGAATTTAGATTTTAACCCTTTTATTTTTAATATCATTAAGAGACAACAGTTCAGATATTTTTCATAATTGTTTGGACTATGAGACACTTTTCCTTATCCTTATTTCTTAGTAACTGTGATATGAATTCTACATACATTTTCAGTTAAAAAACAAGATTTGGTATTTTAGTATATGACATAAATTAGGATTGATTGACGTATTCAATTGTTTTTGGTCACTTCCTGTTTTACCGGAAATGACTACAACTTTTGATTTTTAAATGACACCCTCGGTATTTTTTTACATAATTCGATAGAAAATGACATTCTGAATAGAATGACATATCATATGTCAACTTTTGACATTCTCGCTTAATAAAAAAATGTATTTTAAAATTCAATTTAGAGTGCCATGACTATGTTAAAAACACTAATTCTTAATCAAAGAGCCTTGTAAAAATAGATTTGATCGTCTAATGTTTTAAGTGTCTTGTCTTAGCCAGTTAGAAAATGCTCAAATCGTATTTTTAATCATATCTCAATTTTTTCAAATGGAACGAGGGTCGCTCATTAGTATATTTGGAAAAAGCATTTTTTTACGAATAATTTGATACCACACACTTGTTATTTTGAGTCAAATTTTCGTTACAAACCGCAAGGTATAATTTCAAATAAACCATATGCAAAAATGTCAAAATTGACATATGATTTGTCATTCTATTCAGAATGTCATTTTCTATCGAATAATTTAAAAAAATACCGAAGGTGTTATTCAAAAATCAAAAGTTGTAGTCATTTCCGATGAAACAGGAAGTGACTAAAAATAAGTGAATACGTCACTCAATCCTAATTTATGTCATATACTAACATACCTAATCTCGTTTTTTTTAACTGAAAAAATAAAAAAGTTATAGGGGGTGAGACACTTTTGAGAAGCACCCAGTATTACTGTGGCCAATTTTATAAAACAATAATAATAAAATAAATACTTTAAGATAAAGTCAATTATATTATTCTTAAGGAGAATATAATTTTATATTTTATAGCAGAATTTTTTAGTTTACTTACTGTTTATAGTTTGTAATAAGATTAATTATGGATAATATAAATGACCTCTATACCTGATGTGTTTTCGTTTTGTGGGTCGCCGGTATTGCTGCTGTCCCAGCTGTGGATGGCACTGTCCACACTCATCAATCCCGGGCTGGAATAGCTGCATCTGGGCTCTTCCATTAGTGCAGAGTCTGGAAAAGTCGTTAGGGTACATAGTATAGCGGTGCAATATATATCTTGACAAAAAAAATAGCGAGTTTGACGTTGGAAAGAAAACATATATTATAATTTTACTGAGTTTTTCCATGTATATCAAAGGTGTGTCATCAGGATCTGCTCATTTATTTACTAGCCAAACACCGATATATTAGTAGAGATATAAAGAATATTTGGAAAGATAAACTTTGTTCCAAATTGGTTTGGTTGCTGTTTAAAAATTTATATTGGTGTATCCATGAAATATGCTTCAAGATATAAAAATAAAATAACAATCACTGCATTTGCCTTATCCGTTTTTCACGTACCATTTTTGAGGTTCCTTGCTATTTTCAACTGGACTCTGTCTCCAGATGTCTGAAGCAACCTGATTGCGTCTGATAGTGGTCTGCGATCCAGATTTTCACCGTTAATTGCCAGAATCCTGTCGCCCATGTGAAGAGCGCCAGTTTTTTCAGCCAAACCACCTAAAGAAATGTTAATTTTCATTTTTAGTAATGATGTTAACGTTAAAGTCATTAAACCATAATTAATTTCCTTCTTTATTTACTAATTTTATTTGCACCCAAAATAAACACACTAGTATAATTAGAGAAATAGGCAACATTTGCATTGAAAATAACTCCAATTTCCTCTTAAAGCCACTGCTCAAATTAGACATATTTTTTAAAAACACCTGTTATACCGCAGGAAGTAGGGAATTTTAATTTTTTTAGATACAAGGTGTTTTATTATTAACTATAAACTTAATATCACATATACTAACCTTCAGTTAACCTGGACAAAACTATGGGATCCCCACAGTCTTCACTACCTGATATTGTTATACCTAAAGGACCGCCATATCTAAAAGTAAAAATATATCAGTATATACACACACCGGAAAAATCTAGGGATATCATTTTATTAAAGTTAAAAATAAATGTTTTGAATAAACAACCACATATTTGTAGGCCGATTCTTTCTACTTCGATTGAAACGAAGTAGTCACACTAGTTATTTCTAAATTTGGGATATTTGCAGAAGTGTTTGTGCCTTTTTTGTCAAATGTATAAAAAGCACCTAGCATCAATTGTTCGAATTTAACCTGTACTGGATATGTTTTTATGATAACTGGCCAGAATTCATTCAAATAACTCTGTTTAGTATTAAACGACATTATGGAGCGTAGAAATCTTAACAGAGACGAATTGCTAAGGGCCATGGGTATGCTCGAAGCTGGAATGCACAAAATCGACGTAGCTAGAGCATTAAAAACAACGCAAACTGTAATATCGCGATTAAGTGCACGCTACCGTGAGAGTGGTGATGTTGCTGAAAGGCACACAGGGCGACATCGCATTACTACCACTCAGCAAGATAATTTTTTACAATTAAATGCTCGACGCCGACCGACCCTTACAGCACCAGAGCTTAGTTTAATTCTCCAGGAAACACATAATGTAACCGTTAGTCCTGACACTATTCGCAATAGATTAAGAGAGGTCATCTTAAGAAGCAGACGCCCCTGGAGAGCTCAACCCTTAACGAGAGGAAATCGAGAGGTACGATATTTGTGGGCTCAAGATCATGTTCACTGGTTGAATGAACAATGGGCCAATGTTCTCTTCACGGATGAGTCACGCTTTGGAATTCATCCGGATTCGAGAAGGCTTAGGGTATGGAGAGAACCGGGAAATCTTATTCGGTTGGATCATGTTCAGGAAGTGCACCCTTATCAAGGTGCAACAGTTATGGTCTGGGGAGGAGTCCAGTTAGGCCGAAAAACCGATCTCGTTTTTCTTGAAATGTTTCTAACAGGAATCACATATCGTGATTTAATTCTTGAGCCTGTCGTGTTACCATATGCTAATGATTTTGGGAGAAACTTCATTCTCATGCATGACAATGCACGGCCTCATACAGCTAGAGTGGTAAGTGAGTTTATCAATGCTCATCAGTTAACCATCTTACCCTGGCCGGCACAATCTCCTAACCGTAACCCCATCGAGCACGTATGGGACGCGGTCCAAAGTAGAATTTTGAGAATGGGTATGCATCGTGAAACTCGTAGGGATCTGGTTCGGGCCGTGAATGCAGCGTGGCAAGCTGTACATCAAGAAGAGATCGACAACCTCATCAGGAGTATGGAGAGACGATGTAGGGCTGTAATGAACAGTAGAGGAGGCCATACCCTTTATTAAGTAAAAATGGTTTTATCTTTTTTTTTTAGTTCACAGTTTAGAATAAAAAACAAGTCTATTTTTATTATGTAGTCTATTTTTTTGAGTTCAATAAAAATCAAGGTAAATTTGAAAAATTCGGTAAATTTCGCATTTTTATTTCCAATACGTCCTGTAAACTATTTGTTTATTTTAATTTTATTATATCAGAAATGCAAATAATAAAATTACTGACAATGACTGGATAAAATTGTAATATCCCTAGACTTTTCCGGTATGTATATGTAGAGTTTGGTCCTATGTCCTATATTTAATATGTAGAGTTGGAAGTTCTATCTCAATTTTCTTAAATTTAACGTAAATATTTCCTATTTCAACATGCACTAACTTACCTGTGAAGCTCCACTGTATACACAACACTATCCAAAAACAAGTTGGCGTTTTCTGTTTCAGTTTTCTCGACCTTGAGCGTAACAATGTCATTGGACGACGTTTGCAGAATCTCAAAAGCGGACTCCAAACTGAAATGTACCACAAAAAAGATATAATTAAATTCAGATTTTGATCTATAGCTGTTTGGGGCTACCTTAAATGATCTAATGGTCTATTGTCTATGGCTAACAACCTATCTCCGGCATGTAAAGTACCCGTCCTGTGGGCTATCGATCCCCTCCTTATCTCCGAAATGATGAATGGTTCTTCTGGTTGGCTTTTCGATGCTGCAAAACAACAATTTATATGATTAAGCCTTGTATCTTTAGCTAATGAACTATTAAGATTATTTATTTGATGGATGGTGGTTATATTTGTATCGCAAGATTCAATATGAACAGATTTGTTACAGAATCGGTAAAAAATTGTTCATTATACCGGGTGCGTCTCAAAAGTGGCTCAAAAAACGAGATTTGGTGTGTTAGTATATGACAAATTAGGATTAATTGACGTATTCAATTGTTTTTGGTCACTTCCTGTTTTACCGGAAATTACTAAAACTTTTGATTTTTAAATGGCAACCTCGGTATATTTCTAATTTATTCGATAGAAAATGACACTCTGAATGGAATGGCATATGATATGTCAATCTTTTTTCGCGTACGGTTAATTTGAAATTCTAACATGCGCACAGTGGGGTACACCGATAGTTGATCGAAATTTTTTTATGTAGACCCTATATAAATTATTGCTATTTTCAATTAAAGAGGAAATAATATGAACAAAATAAAGGATAATTCGTCGATTCTAAAAAAAAAGAAAGAAAAATCACTGTTCCAGTGTTTCCACGGTCAATGCCGCTAATGCCAGTATACTCTGTTTTTTTTCTCAGGTAAGATTTCGACAGACGATGACAGAAGAAAAGCAGATGACGTCCCATACCAATCTATTTATTTAACTAAAAAAAGTTTCTAATAATTTTTAAGTTAACTATGGATGGGTTTAAATATAAATTCGTCATGCATCGTCACTTGTTGTTTTTAACCAGTTTTATTGGTTTATTTCAAAAATGACAGATCGTATTTCAATTTTATTGGTTTGACGGAACGATGAACGACAAACGGACGCCGATGCGTATGAACTCGCTCTTTAGATTTTTGACGTTTGTCAAAGTCTTGCTAAATTATAGGTTATAATTTTGTGACAACTTTTGTCAAATACCCTGCGTTTTGGAAGATGATGCATTTTGATTCGTGTTATTACGTGTGATTTGTGTCTTTTGAAGTCAAGTGGAGGAAAAATCGAGTGAAAATTAACTGTAGAACCCAGAGCACAGTTTATGGTTAATACTTGCTGCCCAGGCAGAAAGTCTTATACAGGTACACCAATAAAGTTACTATCAATAAAGTTCGTATACCATCTCGTCGTAGATAAGTGCATCTCGAATATGGTAGAAGGACCATACTAAACACATACTAAAAACTGGAGTAGCTGTAAAATATCGACATCACACGATAGGTAAATAATGGATTTTAGTACTGCAGAAAAATAATGTCAAAAGGTACTGGTGTAGAAAAATTAAGATTAAAGTTAATTAATCAACCTGTGAGGTATAAAATTTGGTAAGTGTTATTATTAATAAAATAGTTTGTTTTATTTATGTTGTTTTATTGCGGAATATTACAAATTTGTATTTGTACATAAGTTATATTGATAAATATAATCATAAATGCGGGAAGTTTCATAAAGCTTGAAAGTAAGAAATAGTTCTTTTTTATATTTTTTGGTATGTGGTGTCTTGTTTTTGTTTGTTTTGTATTAACACATACCGTTTTTATTAAATAAAATAACTCGATTACATTTTTTTAGTTTTATACAGTTTTTTTCACAATATTTTGAAGTTACTTGCGTTCCAGTTGTACCAACTTATTTCTTTGTAAAATAAAATAAACTACTTTGAAATTAAAATGACAGACACATCTATCACTGTCAAGGATCTTCTCGTTGGACAGACTATAGTAATATCGCAACTAATACTATAGTCTGTAAAACGAATAACTTTGAATTTGATAGTTCCCACGGGCTTTTCTAGTGTTAATTTTATTAGGTTAGCAACTTGCGACCATGCTGACGCAATGCCGTCTCTAATAGAACAGCCTCGGAGCGAGATTTATGACGTCACGCTAACATAATTATTCCTTGTATTTGACTATGGCTGAATCGCACTCCATAGTCAATGTAGATAGTTTTAGTGTTAAGAATAATAATTTTAAAAAAATATGTGGTCATCTGTTGACAAGTTTATATTAGTTTATTAATTGCAGTAAACATTATGTGGTTTGTGGTGTGAATATTTTATATGCAATTTTTTGAATTATATTCGACACTATTTTTTTTTATATGACACAACACTGATGAAGGCTATAATGTTAGCCGAAACGTTTTTTTTTAACCAAAAAAAAATAATGAAAAACCAAATGAAAACTTATTCAGCGTTTTTCCCGAACCTAAATCCCAAGAAACTCAAAAATTTTAGAATAATTTTACATTATAAAATGACAGCTATCTTTATTTCATAGCCATCGCTGACGCATTTTTTTCTATGATATTGTATTATTTGTAAATATAATTTTTCGAACATTGATACTTGCAAAATATATGTACATATAAATTTTGTGAATGCAAATAATAATACATTACTATTAGTATATATTGAATGTTTTTTGTTAAATTAGATCGAATTTCAAACCCCAAAATTTAAAATATATTTTACATTTTACCCATTATCTTATGTACCTAGTCATTATTTGTATATTGTAAAACATTTGCTGCATTTGTATGGTTCATAGTTTATTTGCCAAAGTATTTATTACTATAAATAGGTATATATATTATATTTATTAACTGTATATTATGTATATTTCATGTAAACTATATCATTTTTAAATACAAACCAAAATACGAGGAATAATTATGTTTTCCATGTATTCTACAACATATTTATTAATCCGTATCTAATTAGCGTGACGTCATAAATCTCGCTCCAAGGCTGTTCTATTACAGACGGCATTGGTCTGATATTTAGAAATGTCAAAAGCTGATGACATTTTACTTTTGACAATTATGCCATTTCGTGTTGATTTTTGCAAGAAGAGGAAGAACTGTCACTTGTTTTATTATTTTCCTTTTCTATTTCACGTAAGTAAAAAGAGTTACCTATCTGATTCGTTCAGGCACTCAATTTAAAGAATACTTAAAGAATATCAGTAACTTTTTTGATAGAGGGATTTTATATTTGCCATGTTGGTAAAAAATAACGGTCAAAATTTAAAGTTATTCATTTTATAGACTATACTAATGCTACGACTGATCCGCGACCAATGCCCATACCACTAAAGCCGCTAATAATGCCAAATTGTGCTATACTGCTAATGGCACTAATGCGATCGCTTTGTACACAACAATGCCATCGCGGTTTACACCTCGCATTAGTATATCACTGGTTTGTAAATTAGAGGAAACCAAGAATGTTTTTCTCATTTTATCAGCGAAGTCGCAAAAAGTCGCAATATTTTATTTTACTGTACGAAAGCCCAATGTTTACTAAATAAAACGTATATAGACAATATGCTGAATTCTTCGAAATACGCAACTAAATCTCTAAGTATAATAAAAATGTCACAAATCTAATCAAATTTTCTGAACGCCTAACTTTTAGTTGCAAAAAAATCGTTAGTATCGAGAATATCAAAATAAATAATATGTTTTTGTAGAATACATACCTGCAGCTTGCTAAGCCATTTTCAATCAAAACAATAATATAACCGTAAAAGGAGCACAAGAACAACAACAATTTCTAATTTTAAACATAAAATTTAGCCATTTACCTCTTATCTGTGAGAAGTAACAACTTTGACGTTTGGTTGAAACAAATGAATGCAACTAAACACACCCATATCAACGCCATTCATTGCAGACATTTAACTTATCATTTATATCTTTTTGGGAAATCTTAAACACATTTGCTTTTTCGAATTTCGATCACCTTTTTCATGCTAATACCCCACCGTGATGCGGCTCATAACGACAATTGGACTCGAAATACCTAGTGTGTGGTACCTAATTATACGTAAAAATATGCTTTTTTTAAATATGCTAACGAGCCACCCTTGTTCCATTAGAAAAAATTGAGATATGATTAAAAATACAATTTGGATATCTTTTAACCAGCCAGGACAAGACATGAAAAACATTAGACGATCAAATCTATATTTCCAAGTTTTTAATACAGCCATGGCACTCTAGATTGAAATTTAAAATACGATTTTTTTAAATGAAAATGTCGAAAGTAGACATATGGTATGTCATTCAACTCGGAGTGTCATTTTCTATCGAATAAAGTCGAAATATACCGAGGGTGCCATTTAAAAATCAAAAGTTGTAGTCATTTCCGGTGAAACAGGAAGTTACCAAAAATAATTGAACACGTCAATCAATCCTAATTTATGTCATATACTAACATACCAAATCTCATTTATTTAACTGAAAAAATAAAGAAGTTATAGGGATGAGCCACTTCGAGGCGCACCCGGTATATATTATAACAAAATTTTATTTTTTACAACAAATAAATAAAACATGTAAGATTAAATTTAAAATTATAATTGTATTGTTGCGGGCCGGTGTGGACTCGACCTAACCTCACAATATGGCCCGCCCTCGGATGACCTTAACATCGCATAGACACCGCAATGATTCATTCGTTCGAGAAGAATCGAGTCCCACTGGACGATCTATGGACAATTCTAGAGTTCTTTACCTGCCGGTATAAAAGCCGGCGGCCGTGGCCTACAGGGGGCAGTTATAAATATACCAGTGCAGTTGACGCGCTAAAATTCAAAATAAATTCTTAGTTATAAATCGTTTGTAAATAGTTCTATAAGTCTTTTATCGTTATTGTTTTTGTTAATTATAACAAAAATTTTGTTTTTTACAATAAATAATACTTAAACATGTAAGATTAAATTTAAAATTATAATTGTATTATGACCGATCAAGTGAGACTGCCCAAGCAGCATCGGGACAACGTTGTGTCACGCGACCAAACGTCGGGGCGCAACGTCGGCACAACCTCGTGCCAACCCTAGTCTGCAATAGTTTGGAGAATCATTTTTGGGTCGAAACGACGTTGGATACCGACGTTGGCTAGCAGCCTAATTTAGTACAAACTGCAACGTTGTTTAAAATCCTAATTCAGAGAAATACAAAACTATAATAATATGGCGTC